CAGCTGGGATTACAGGCATGCACCACTGCACCAGGCAATCTCATTAATTTGCTGGCTGCCTCTAAGAGCTTTTCAGTATGTCTAAGTGTGGCTTTACTTTTAAATTCACTTTTCCACCTTGTGTTATATGTTGTGCTTTCTATGTTTTTGAATCCAGTCTTTTGTTGGTTTTAAAAAATCCTAAGTTTTTGTCTTCTTTAAAGTTTGCCTATCCCTATTCTTTCTTTTGGAACTCCAGTTATTATTATGTTAGACTATTTCATTTTAATAGCTCTTTCTTTTAACTTTCTTTTTATATTTTCAATATATTTGTCCTTTTTTGTATTCTGAGTCGTTTATTCAGCTCCATTTTGTGGGGGTGGAGAGGGGTGATACTGGGGATTGAACTCAGGGGCACTCGGCCACTGAGCCACATCCCCAGACCCATTTTGTATTTTATTTAGAGACAGGGTCTCACTGCGTTGCTTAGCACCTTGCTGTTGCTGAGGCTGGCTTTGAACTCGTCCTGCCTCAGCCTCCCAAGCCACTAGGATTACAGGTGAGCACTACTGTGCCCGGATTCAGCTCCATTTTTGAATGCACTAATTTCTTCCAGTCAACAAATTTGGGTTGTTTCCAACAATTCTTCATTTCTGAAGGTTTTATTTTTCATCATGCCTGGTTCTTCATAGTGTCTTATTGATACTTATTTTTCAAGACTCTAGTTCTTTAGATATTTAATATATCATCATTTTCAATTTGACAATTCTCCTTTGAAGTCCTCGGTGGTGGTTTCTGTGGATTCTCATCAACGGTTTGTTGATCATAGATGCCAAGTTCCTCTTTCGTTGGCATGAACCCAGGTTGTTTTTCACCAGAAAGGACTTGAATTTGCTCCTGCCATGAGCCAAAGAGAGCTTTGTCTTGTTTGTTTATCCTGAGAGTTCAGCAGCGCTTTCTAAATATGTCTTTTGTTCAGAAACTATAGCTGTTTTGCAGCAGGAAGACCCTTTAGAAAGTGGAAGCCCTAATGAGTTCTTTGGGCAGGGAAAAGTTTTCACCAGTGACTAAAATTAAATTTTCAAGAGTAGGTTCCGCACAGGATGGGAATTATAGAAATAAGGTAGATTTCTGGTCCCATAAATAATATAACACTCAGTAGACACGGGGTTGATGGCTGACTTCACGGGAGGGCTGGCAGTGGAGGACTGGGTTGCTTAGTGCATCAAAGGGTCCATTTGTGATTGTTCACTTCTGATCCAGGAAAACAAAAACACAGCCAAAGTGTTTTTGAGTAACTATTAGAGACTAAACCCAGCAAAAATAAACTCTCTGGAATTATGGTAATTTGTGGGAGAAAACAATTTAACTGAACAAAATCCGCTTTGCACACTTCCCAGGAAACACAATTAGATGCATTTCTCTTTAGACCAAAAAAACAAACCAAAAACCAAAAACATAAAACCAAACCAACACAACAACAAAAAAGAAAAATGAACAAAACCTATAATCAAGTTTTTTAAAAACCCTACTAGGTGTCTCTTACCAACTCCCTTTTCACTTTCTCCAACAATTATCTTTAACCTCTAAGCCCCTGAAGCCCAGCCTTCTTTCCCTGTCAGTCTCAGCAGATGCATTGTTTATTTTTCCATAAAGGATAGAGATGCCATTGGAAGGGAACTGCCATAGTCAAAGCCAGTCCCTTCCCCCATTGACACCTCCCCTTTCCTCCTTCTTTCCTAGTTTTAAAGGACAAGCTGTTGATGCCCCACCTGCCACACAACATACGCGTCACCTGTGCTCTGGCTCTCAGCCTTTCCGGTGGCCTCTAGGACTTTGATGTTCTCTCATTCTTTGTCTCTGTCTCTCATGTCTTCACCCACTCCTGTTCATCGAATGTTCCAGACATATTTAAAACGTGTTCAGGTTAGAACCATGGAGAGCATAACCACCCTCCTTCGACTTCCCTCTATCTTTCCAGTTACCATCTTTTCTCTTTCCCCTTCTTTCTAGCCAAGTTTTAAAAGAGGTGTCCAGAATTCCTGTCTTCATTTCTTTGCTTCTTATTACTCATTTTCAATCTGAAATTTTACCACCAATGATCTATTGAAATCTGTGCCATTAAGTTTTTGTATTTCCAAATCCAGATGATATTGATTGGGTTTTGCTCTACTTGACTTCTTCATAACTTTCAACACACACACACACACACACACACACACACACACACACACACGTTTCTTTACCCTTTATCTTAAAATTTCAGTTATAGAGCAAGAGGGTTGTTAGCTTTCTGTCACTGTGACAAAATACCTGAGGTAATTCATTTATAAGGAGGAAAATTAATTTTGGCTCATGGTTTCAGTCCATGGTCAGTTGACTCTATTGCTTTTGGGCCTGTGCTAACATAGTGCATCATGGCGACAGAGAGGGCTGTTTACCTCATGGCAGCCAGGAAACAGGAGAGAGGGAGGGGGGATGGAGGTGACTGGAAGGGGCCGAGATCTTGATAGTATTCTTTAAGGGCATGTCCCCAACAACCTAACTTTCTTCTTCTAGGTTGATGGACGATGTTTAGTTGAATATCATTGTGTTCATCTTAAAACCAACTTACTGTAAGATTATTGCTCAGTATAATAGTTGCTATTACTATTTTAAAGGCATATTTTAGTATAAATCAACTTTATTCCTAGCTTATGTTTTAGACCTTTGGATTAAAAATCATATGTACAGCTAAGTTATATTATTTCTGTAAGTTATATTACTCACTCCAGCTGAGTTAGCAGGGATTTTCAATGTTTGTTAGAAAAGGCCGGGGCTGGTCTGTTGGGATTGAGAATTTCTGCTTTGGTGGTAACAACTTACTCTTAATACAGAGACCAGGGAAGCAACCCAATACCAGAAAGCTGCACTCCCAAGGGCCAACTCCACTGTTCTAGGGAAAGTTTCCACTTGCCCAACAGCCCAACGGTACCTCCCTTTCCAACTGACGGGAGCATTGTGGCCATTCCTTAGTTCTCGTGTGAGCTCTCTGAGTAGTGGGTACTTCCCACAGATTTTACTACTTCTTAGCCAACATCACCCAGCATTAAGGGTGGGAGGACAGAGAGTAGAAGAGCAAAGCCCCAAGCATGAGATTGCTTTCACCTTGAACATTTTTTAAGTGAAGTTATTCTCCGGACAATCTCAAGACTCACCCCACACCAGGCATGAGAAATTGCATTTGAACCAAATTCTCAAGTGACTTACAGGCATGTTATCATGCAAGAAGCACCACTGTTCTAACCCACACTCAGGGCCTGGGCCTTCAGACCACTCCAAGAGGCCTCCCTTTGCTGTCCAGCTGGCCTAACTCAGACTTTGTCACCTGGGTCTTAATCCATTTCCCACAGGTCCATCCCTGTGGGTCTCTCTGTCTGCCCTTCTTCAGTGGCAGGCTCTAACATTCTGTGTTCACCCCGATAGCCCCCAGCCCTTGGGCACTGTCTGACTGATAGCCAGCTCCATTCAGAAGGCTGGTCAAGTCCATGACTGGACCAGCTCACACATGGTCCACACACCAGAAAGTAAAGCCTGAAATTCTTGGAAGGTTAGGTATTTATTTCTGTTGCTTAAGACAAGCTCCATATGGTAAAAACAAAACAGAGAGGCTGAATGGCATAGATATTAAACATCCACCTCGGACCACAGCATTTAGGATTTCCAGAGCACGTCGGTGGAGGCACTTTTGTACCGAGGCACATAGACTTTCCCAGGCCGCAGGGAGTGGCCCGCTCTCTTGAGGATGCTGTTGCCAGCTGCCTAGTGAGGTAGGGAGGAACAGCAGTAGACACGGGTCAGGGCCAAGCCCAGGGCCACTTCACTAGCTGATTGTCTGGTGGCAGATGACAACGACGCCTATTTCCTCCTGTCACCCACCTTGGGACCATTTCTGACCTGAACAGCCTTGGCAGGACACGGGTGGAGAAGGAAGGAAGGACCTTGTCTGGTGTCATCCTCTTTGGTGTAAGGAGGCACCCCCAGCCAGGGAGCGATGGAGAAGGAACAGCTGACACCCACTGGGGCTGGGATGGTGGGAGGTTCATGTGCCAGTCAGTGTTTTCCCTGCTTCTCATTAGTAGGGAGACCACGGGCCCTCCCTGTGCCAAGCAAATGCCAATCTCTGCTCTGCTCCTCCGCCTTTAGGTGAACCTCTCATAGGCCATTTCTGGCACTCTATCGGGACCAATTTATGTGACACGCTTTTGCCTCCAGCCTGGGGGAGCACCTTAGAAAACAGACACCCCCACCCCCTACACAGCCCTCCTCCAGCAGCCACAGGCCTAATGAGAGGCTCCTACACTGAGTTTTTATTCCTTATCACTTAAGGACCCTAATGCAGTCTGTAGACGTTAGTACGGGAAGCCTCTGCGCGCTGGCAGGGGCATCTCACGCACTCTGTTGGCCTCTGAAGGCCCTACTCTCTTGGCTTCATCAAAACATGCCTCCTGGTCTAGGAGCCCTCTGTGATCTTTGGGTTCAGAGATGACTTTTTGGTGGCTGATCATTCTAACCAGAGGAGGCAGGGCCGAAGGGGAGACTCAACAGAAAACGGCTGTTTATCAACAGAGAGTAAACCAGTTTTAGTCTGAGTCAGTGATGGGTGGCCTGGGACTGGGGGACAGATGTTCTGTGACCCTGGCTGTGGTCTGGCCTCTTGTGCTTTGGGGCAGCAGTGTTTTAGAGTGGTAACTTTAATGGAAAAGTCCCTCCTAGCTGTTCTGAACCATAATACAGTAGTCCCCTCTTATCCTCAGGGATACTTATAGGACACCCCAACCCCCTGTGGATGCCTGAAACCTCGGATGGTATGAACTCTATACGTACATTCTTTCATATGCATATACACTCCTGTGATAAAGTTTACTTAATAAATTACAGGAAGAGATGAACAGAAAAAAAAAAGAATAATTATAACAACCTACTGTAACAAAATGTGTGGTCTCTCTATTAAAAGTCAAGACAAGTATTCATATTTTCAGACTGCAGTTAACCCTGGAGAACTGAAAATGAGGACCAAGAAACCATGGATAAGAGGAGACTACTGTACCCATGAGGGGGAACCACGAGCCACTGTGATTTTCAGGGTGCTGGGAAGGAAGGCAGTTTCTCTGCCTTGCATCAATTGAGGACATTTGAAGGCGCCCCGTTATTTTTCCACAGAGCCAACTTAATGAAGACAGTCCTTCAGCCTTGAAGGCAGGTTCAAGAAGAGGCTCAGCCATGATATTCAGTGAGCAGGTGTGTGTCCCCCTCCTACTGGACTGATCTGTAAAGCGTCTACTCTAAGCCTTCCAGGGAGACATTCAGAGTAACAATGAAAAGGTGAGAAGGCACAGTGGTTTAAAGAACGGTCACCACCTACTTAATGGAGAGAAAGCAATTACACTTGCACGGAAGACAGTTCATTAGTGGCTCCACAAAGAGGTGCCTTCACACCCTCACAGGAGGATCCATTTGCAGGCTCCATGGTGACTCCCGACTTTCAAGGGGAAAAAAATCTCCCTGGCTCAGTGAGAACCAGGTGCAGCAGCTTCAGCCCCAAAGCAACCCCCACCCCACCGCCAAATGGGTGGACCTTCATTTGGCTCCCACCCTTCCCACCACTGCCCAGGGGAGAGGAAGAGAAGGGACCACAGCCCCTGCCCACTGACATCTCCTCATCTCCAGGTGCCCGTTAGGTTGCAGGTAGAGCTGTTGTCTCCCTGTCACTTATGAGTCCCAGCTCCGCATGAGCCTTGGGAGAGCTGAAGGGGGACTAGGGTGGAGGATAAAGGCCGGTACTCACCAAGGCCAAAGCCTCTTCTGTACAAAAAATGGGTATATCTCCGCAAAGGTCACAATAGCATGATCTTGCTATTTAACATCTGGCACTTGCTTTTAGCTACAAGTTGAAATCTCAGAGACCCAATTTTTTTTTTTTAAGCTAAGTAAATACAATGGGAAGTCCTGTTATATATGTAAAATACACGTACATCTATGACGCGCACACGTGCGTCATTCTGAATATTACTGTGCACAGTTGCATCCCAGGAATTCCAACCTCAAACCACCCCTTTGTGCGTGGACACTCCACATTGCTCCATCCAGAAAAGAAAACCCGAACAGGGCTCGGGCTGCCGACCCGCCCGCACCTCTGGAGCTGAAGCAGGCACCTCACACGTGGCTCGTCTTCTCCACCAGGATGTGGTCTGTGGGTAGCACAAACTTGATGGCGCCATCCTTCTCCCAGCCCCTGCGGATCTTGGCAAGTCTGCGGCTGAAACATGGGAGGAGGAACAGGGCTTTGGCCAGGATGACGACGCAGGGGACCAGCAGCGTGAGCGTGAAGGTGGGCGGCAGGTAGAACTTGTAGCGGTTCTCCTCGAAGGCGCGGGTCCAGCCGTAGGTGAGTGTGTGCAGCGTGGTCAGCACCAGGGCCACGAAGCCCAGCGTGGACTGCGGGAGCAAAAGGTAGGAATGAGCGCCTGCGGAGGACCCCGCGCTCCTGCCAGCCTGGTCCCCGGGGAGGGGCTGTAGAACTCAAGGCTGTGGTTTCCAGTCCCAGCCCAACCACTCAGCACAGGTGCCATCTAAACTCTCTGACGTGTCACTAGCAGAAAAATAAGACTTCTGTGTTGAAGGGATATAAGGGTTGATTAATGCAGATTCAATAAGATAACAATGCTTCCCCTGCCCCCCAACTGTTATCTGTGCTTCTGACAGCTGCCAGACAATTTTGGATGGAATTATGTTCAAAGGAACTGAAAAACATTTTAGTAGTTTTGTGTATATTTTAATGAAGAGTAACAAGTGTCCGCCAGCATACTGAAATCATAATTTCACAACTAGTTGGCTTAAGTTAAGGCTGGATAAAAAAATGAAATTGATTTTGAGTTGGCTTAAAGAGAAACACAAAATAAATAATTTATAGATGGTATGTGGATATGGCACCAACAGTTAAGGGGGTTCCAGGGACCTGTGGTCTGAAGGTGACCTGACACTATACAGAAAGCCTTAAACACCAGACAGATGCACTCAGTGCAGGCTGGTCTTTCACCTCCTGCCATGCTGAGTTATGAGCACCCCCTAATCTTTCCCTTGGCCTGCTAAGAGCTGAACCCTAGTTTTTCTATGCAGGTGAGCTGCTCCAATTTGGGAATTTTGTAATGTAATGATGCTTAGCTGACTGAGTTGGAATCCTTTAATGCAGCCGAAACCACAGGGAGGTAAGACCATTCCAGCTCCAAGCGGAAATGGCCTTCTTATATCAGGGCTCCACCCCTTGAGCCACAGGTGGGCTTTTGTGGGTCACTGCCAGGTGCAACACATGCTCAGGAAGGGCTGATTCCTATAACTTCGGCCTCTTTTGCATGCCAGCATTCCCTGGACCACACAGGGACGGTGCAGATTCTTCCCGGGGGCTAGTTCCCACAGACACTGACCCAGTTCCAACGGGAGGTCCTGCCTGCCCCTGCTTTCTGTGGAGGCACCAGAGTTGCAGAGATGGCTGGACAGTGTCTTTTATCCCTGAGCTGACCAGTCTGAAACTGGTTTCAAACTTCCGCTGCACATTAAAATCACCTGGAGATTCCGGGGTGAGGTGGGGGGGATATTAGTGCCCGAGCCCCGCCCCCCCCCCCAGGAATTTAGATTAAATTGGTTTGGGGCAAGGCTCAGGCATCTGTTGTTTTTCAGAGTTCAGCAGATGATGCTAATGTGCAGCCAGGACTAAAGCACTAATTCTGGAAACCCACATCACCCACATCTTTCTAACTTGAGGTTGAAAAGTCCACATGGGTCCCTGTGCCCAAAAAGTCTGACAGGGGAGGACTTGGACCTATCTGTTCCTTAGACAAAGACCCCCCTGAGGCCTTTCAGTGCCTGTGTGCTTGTGTTGTGCTTTCCTCTAGATGGGGCAGCAACAAGAAGCTGCCCAGGCCTAGCATTAGCATCTCCCTTGGGTGACATACCCTATACTCCAGAGCCTCACACATATGGGCCACTATCCCCATCTCTAATCTGGAGAGGGAGGGATGGGGTCTTGCATTGGGACAGCAGCCTCCAGGCCCACCAGAGGCAGCCAGCTCCTCCTGTTCATACATTCTCATGGTGTGTCATCCCAAGTCCCAGGATGCAGGTGCCAGGAAGCACTAGCCTCGGGCAAAGAGTTCATAGCAAGGGACAAGAGCCAAAGGTCAGCCAATAACGAAGGGCCTCTTGACTTCCCAATCCTGGTGGAAAGCCCAGATGATTCCAGCGAGTTTCTGTCCCTAAAACTTTCTCTCCTTGGGAGCAATTTAATAATCCCAGAATGGCCAAAGGAAACCCAACAAAGGGGAGGGATTGTCACAGGGCAATTAATAACCCCCCAAGCCAGGGCCATTTTTATTTTGTGGAAGCTTGTTAGTAAAAAAGAAACAGCCAGGTCCTCGGTGGCTCCTGCTGGTGCTCAATTACTGCAGCATGAAGGGGCTTTGGACAATCGCTCATCAAGCTGGGGTCAGGCTGTTCTCTGTCATTATTTCAGGCAAGTGGCTGGAGTGAACAAGGTCACAGGAAGCTCCTCAAACTCTGGGGCAGGACTGAGGTGCTAAGAGCTGAACCCTAGTTTTTCTATGCAGGTGAGCTGCTCCAACCTGGGAATTTTGCAATCTAATGATGTTTAGCTGACTGAATTGGAATCCTTTAATGCAGCCAAAACCCACACCAAAATAATGAAACTGCCCAAAGAAACACAGCCCAAAATTAAAACTTTGAAAATAGCCTTGGAAACAAAAGGACAAATGAAAATATGAGTTGCACTGTCCCAATGGCTTTTAGATAAACACAATATTCTGACCCAGGGGTCAGGTCAGGCCCATTGAGACCACAGGTGGTTTTGAAGCCCTGGCGGCTGTGTGAAGGTGCATGGGAGGGGGGGAGGGGGTGAATAGAATCTGGGTAGCGCCTCACTGGCCACACTAACTTGACAAGATTTGGGTTGCAACTTTGCTAAAAAAAAAAATCATTCATCCAGCCAGCCATGCATGGTGGTGCATGCCTATAATCCTAGTGACTCAGGAGACTGAGGCAGGAAGATCACAAATTGAAGATCAGTCTAGCAACTCTGCCTCAAAATAAAAAATAAAAAGAGCTGGGGGTGTAGCTGCACAGGAAACAGTGGTAGAGTGCCCCTGGGTTCAAATTCCAGTAACCCTCCAAAAAATCATCCAGCTATTATGGGGTGCATGGGTCCTTAGTTGACATGTACTGGGCTCACATATTCCCAATGACCACATGAGTGAACTCAGGCACCACACCAGGAAGCAGAATCTCCAAGAGTCTGAGAAACTTGTCTGATGGTGCAGGGCAGGGGAGGGTCTTGGCACTGACCCCAGATCTGTGTTTCTACCTCCTGTGTTCCAACCACCAGGGGGCGCCACACACTGCAGCACATGCACCTAGGGGTCACCCAGACTTCCAAGTCATCCCTCAGTATGAGTTCACAGGTCAGGGGCAAGTTTGGGCATCCCTATTCTCCAGGAGTGCTCTGTGTCTTCAAACCTTTCTAATGGTGGCTTGCCAGTAAGAAAGGCATTTTACATCACTGCACAGGAAACAACATGTATGTAGTTCCTGAGTCAATATAGCTGAAAACATCTATCCTTACACCATGAAACATTGAGGGCTTGCATGGTGTAAGGATAGATGTTTTATTCTATTTCATTTAGAAAATGCAGGGAGCACCCACTGGGTGGATTGCATGACCCACTCAAAATGTCTACCATAGTTGGCAAACTCCGACTTGAACTGCTTGGTTACCCAGGGTTGAAGCCTCTTGGCCTCTCTCTTGCAACCTCCAATCAGAAGTGGGTGGTCAGGAGCCACCATAGTGGTGCACGACTGTAGTCCTAGCTCAGGGGCTCAGGTGGTGGACATGATCTGCTCAGAGTGGGCACACAGGCGGTGGAGCTGGAAGCCAGGCTTCCTGGGTCCAGGGCATCTTGCATGTCAGCTCTCTTGGGAGACAGAGTGGCTGGGTTTTGTGGACACAGTGAGGATATTTTGTTTCCACAAACAAAATCCTGCCTTCCTACCCATCCGACCCCCATCCCCAGCTCCTGCAGTGGCAGAAGGACTTTCATATTTTTATTTTGACTCTTTAATATGTAAAGCAGGGTACAGCTACTGGGGTCTCAGTCAGCTTTTGCTAACAAAATCAAATCCAGAGGCTTTCTCTGGCAGCCAGAGCCAGGGCAAGTAATCTGTGGCTGCTTAAGGGAGCCACTTTCTGGTGAGAGGAGCAACCTGTGGTCTGTTTTAATTGTGGACAAGCCATGTACCCAGGATACTCTAGGCGGGAACAGGCAAATCCTAGATTTGAGTGTGAGACACATGGGGATTAGTGGCAGATCAGTCAAATTCCCTTCCCTCCGCCCTCTTGGCTAGCATGTGTCAGCCTGAGCACTCCTCCAGGACTTCTGAGACGAGCAGAGCCCTGGAGATTCACAGACAACGCTTTACAAAACAACCACAACCGTTTTGTTCTAAGGTACTCTAAGGATCCCCAGTCACGAATAATTACTTGCAATTACATAAAAGCAACACACTGTCACTGTCCCTGAGTCCTCACTGCTCAGGGAAGATACTCAACAGATTTTTTTTGCTGACAGTGGGGGTGGATAACATTGCTGTTCTCTGCCCTGATACCATACAAAGGCAGGATCCAGCATTAGTCAGCGCCCATCCACGGAGGGGATAGGCTAATCCACCAACACTGACCATGTGCTCTATGTGGAGAATGGTGGGAGATGCCTGAGGAATGTCAGAAGGGTCCCCATCTCAGTTGTCTCCATGGTCATTGGAACAAGGCTCTGCCTGCCTGCTCCCTACCTCCTCCTAGCGTGATGTCCTGCATACAGCAAGTGCTCAATCCATGTTTGCTGCCTGAACAAATGTACAAAAACCCTTCTGCCTCTGGCAGCATTTCCCAGAGCATGCTCTGAAGGGGGCTGATAGCTTTGAGAGCTGTCACCTGAAAAACAGGGCAGGGGTGGTGCTAAACGTCACATCAGTCTAGTTAACAGGTTGTATATGGTACACATTGTTGGAATCTTTGATGGGCCAAAGAGTGCTATGAGTCTCTTAGGGGGGAGCATTTCTCAAATTTATTGGATGAAAGATTCTTCTTCTTTTTTTCTTTTTCTGGTGGTGCTGGGGGTATGTGTGCTAGGCAAGCACGCTACCACTGAGCAATACCCTACCCCTAAGACCTCCTTTTCTCTGGATTTTCCCAGGAATGGTGTCCTTTGGAGATGCTGTGACTCATCCCTCATGTACAGTAACCCCAAAGCTCACCTCCCCACCTGCCCTGCATGCATCCGAGGCTTAAAAGGAACCAAAGTGCCAGGTTGGGGCATGGGGGCGGTGTGGTAGGCTGGCTTCAGTGATTCACATCTAGACCTGCAAAATGTCCCATGACTACAGGGCACAGAATTTTTTTTGTTTTTGGACATTTCAAGAACTGCAGAAGCTGAGAATGCTCGATCTGGGATTCTGTGTGCTGTTCTCTAATTTTTTTTTGCATTCCTCTACTTGGCTTCCCCTGATGTCTAAAGGTGAGCTTGTCTTTGGCAGTCCTGTTGTCAGGAGGCCAGGAGGGTCCCCAGGGTAGGAAGGCCCTGGCATCTGACTGGGTGGAAGGAAGGTTCTTGC